TCTGGCTCTGATCAGCTTCATGTCTTTTTAATAATTTTTATCTTCTATACAGATGTACAGAGCTTATACATAATCACTATATATTGCAAGATTATGAAATGTCTGGTAGAATGATTTTTGTGCTATGGTTTTATCTACAATGTGCACTGTGGATTTTGTTTTTTCTTTAACTTTCTCTTTTAAGTTGTAGATCTGCTTCATGCTTCAGCTATGCATATAATTGCAGGAATAAATAATTTTCATAAATTATTTACATAAAATTGATAATTGTGAATATTTTGAATCTATAAGGGTTATCCAATTGATAGAATATTAATCTGTATGTTTATTTAGAAGTCACACTGTATTTCAGAATATTTACACATTGGAATTGATTTACTAATTGTAATTAAGGTGTCCGTTTATGAACCAGCAGTAATAGATCGCTGCTCAGTTCTCCGGCATTCTTGGAGAACACAGTTCTCCTGTAAATGCCGTTTATGAAGCATATGTAGATCAGTTTCTCCAAACGAAAGGAGAACGGTCTACAAATGCTGGAAAACGGCTGATTTTACTATAATCTCACGAGATTACAGTAAAAGATCAGTTTACTAAACAGAGGTAAATTATCGCTGCTTAGTTTGCGGTCCCTCCGATTCTCCAGCTGTGGGCTGGAGAATCTGGAAGGAGAACACAGATCTCCAGTGAAGGGCTGACATGATCTCCTGAGTATCATAAACTGTGAATGACCAGAGAATAGCTGAGATCCGTTGAATCGCAGCTATTCTCTGTGTCATAAACGGACACCTCTGTTGTGTAATTTATTGAGCAGCATAATGCCAAATGCCCACTTACATCAAATACAAGGTATATAAAGCTCAGAACATCATGTAACAGTCTGGGTGTACTTGCATGGGTGTAGCAATATGCCGTCAACGCCGGAACTGATGTCACCACACTTCCGTCCTACGCGTTGCGTCATGAGCCACGTAAATTACACTATTTACTACACTATGAAAGTGTTCCTTTTCTCCTCTTTTGGGATTGTTTGAGAGGCTGTCCGGTGCATTTTTTTCCTTGAGGGGGATACCACCACTGTTGTTGACGGTTCCTGGATTAGTGCGTAAGGCCCCCATGGGATGCTGATCTGTTTGGCGTTGAGTGCCTTTGATGTCTGTTGGCTCTTAGGGGTCGCAGCGTGGAGGTGAGGAGGCAATTTGCTGGTGGTGGATTTCTTGTCAAGTCGATCACTTTCACTATCACCCATCAAGTTTACTATTGTACTTTACACGTAGTAGTTTATTGTGGACTTTACACCATCTTTTGTGTTTATTCACATTTTTGTGGCAATATTTTTGCCATTATTTATGATGTGTTTGTTTGTGTGTTATTTTTCACCCCATCATATATTTCCATTCTTTTTTGACATTCATGTCATCCATGTTTAGTCCTGCACTGGAATATATCACTTTTGGGCTTTTTATGTATTGATTATTGTTATACCAGTTTATCATTATTTTATATTTCATTATTTATATATTTTTTACCACTTTATTCACATTATTTCCTCCCTTTTCATATGTACAGTTCACTTATATCACTATGGCAGATTTCTTGAGCTGAGGACGTGTTTATTTGTTTTGTTTTCACATATGATAGTGCACTTGTGCTATTTGTGCTGTTTACGTTGTGGTTCACATGTGTTACATTTTCTGTGGGCTGTCCATTTTTCTCCCCTCTCATAGTTTATTTAGATTTATTTAGATTCACAACCTAAACAGCACAAATAGCACAAGTGCACTATCATATGTGAAAACAAAACAAATAAACAAGTCCTCAGCTCAAGAAATCTGCCATAGTGATATAAGTGAACTGTACATATGAAAAGGGAGGAAATAATGTGAATCAGTGAGAAGTATCAACCCCCCTTTGTTGCATCTTCACTATTTGGTTATATAGCTGGGTGCTAGCTGTTTTCCTAAACTGTAGTGTTGAGTTTAGTATTGTAGTGGCAGCGCGGGAGGTTTTTCCCTATCTTATAGGCATGTAGACTGCTTCTACAAACATTTGTGAAAAAGTGGGTTGCTCTCAGGAGCTCAGTGAATTCAAGTGTGGTACCGTGATAGGTTGCCACCTGTGCAATAAGTCCATCCGTGAAATTTCCTTGCTACTAAATATAGTCATCTGACAGTGGTAGTAAAACAAAGTGGAAGCAACTGGGAACAACAGCAACAAAGTGGTAGGCCACGTAAAATGACAGAGAGGGGTCAGTGCTTGCTGAAGAGCACAGTGCTCAGAAGTCGCCAACTGTCTGCAGAGTCAATGTGGCCATCAGATTAGCACAACAACAGTGCATAGAGAGCTTCATGGAATAGGTTTCCATGGCCGAGCAGCTGCATCCAAGCCTTACATCACCAAGTGCAATGCAAAGCATCGGATGCATTGGCGTAGAGCACTCCGCCACTGGACTCTAGAGCAGTGGAGACACGTTCACTGGAGTGAGAAATCACTCACACGGTTGCCAAGAGAACAGTACTTACCTGACTGCATTATGCCAACTGCAAAGTTTAGTGGAGGGGGGATTATGGTGTGGGGTTGTTTTTCAGAGGTTGGGCTTGACACCTTAGTTCCAGTGAAGGGAACTCTTAAGACATCAGCATACCAAGACATTTTGGACAATTTCATGCTCCCAACTTTGTGGGAACAGTTTTGGGGATGGCCCCTTCCTGTTCCAACATGACTGCGCACCAGTGCGCAAAGCAAGGTCCATAAAGACATGGATGAGCAAGTTTTGGGTGGAGGAACCTGACTGGCCTGCACAGAGTCCTGATCTCAACCTGATAGAGCACCTTTGGGATGAATTAGAGTGGAGACTGCGAGCCCGGCCTTCTTTTCCGACATCAGAGCCTGACCTCACAAATGCGCTTCTGGAAGAATGGTCAAACATTCCCATAGACACACTCGTAAACCTTGTGGACAGACTTTCCAGAAGAGTTGAAGCTGTTATAGCTGCAAAGGATGGGCCAACAAAATATTGAACCCTACGGACTAAGACTGGGATGCAATTAACGTTCATGTGCATGTAAAGGCAGGCATCCCAATACTTTTGGCAATAATACCTTAGGCCACCCCACCAAAGGAAATGTCTTTCCCTTGTATTTTGTGATTCTGGAAACACCAATGCTTACTCATTTTGATATACAAGCAAGATATTATTGACCCTGCCCACTGTGCTATGCCTACTAATTTTGATAAACAGGCAGGGTATTACTGACCCTGCCCACTACAGAGTGATCATAGCTTACCTTCTGATTGGACAGACAGAGGTACTCGTTGATCTCCTCCATAGACAACTCCTCCATAGATAACCACGGCAACTGTTCTCCAAATCTAATTTTTTAATAGTCTTCATTGCTTTACATGTAGCATGGTCTTCTCTGGATGAACTATTAACAACTTTATGTTTTTGGAGGAGATCCAAAGGGGCATTAAAAGAATCACAAATTTTGGTTAACTTTCTGTCATGTATATAATAATTTGTACAACAAAGACTTTATTTAGATATTTACTGTGTATGCATATACAATAATATATATATATATATATATATATATATATATATATACCTACCAAAAAACTGGAGTTCAATGAATTTAAAAAAAAATGAAAACGTTGAGCAAATATTATTACATTTCTTTTTAAAATTACCTGTCATTTAAACCTCTGCATGCTGGTAGGTAAATTGGTTCCTGTCTAAATTTGCCCCAGTATTTGTATGTATGAATGTGAGTTAGGGACCTTAGATTGTAAGCTCCTTGAGCGTTAGGGACTGATGTGAAAGTACAATATATATATTTAAAGTGCTGCGTAAATTGATGGCTCCATGTAAGTACCTGTAATCAGGGGCGGACTGACAACTCATGGGGCCTCCGGGCAATAGGGGATCATGGGGCCCCTGTGTCCTTGCCCAAACTCAAAAAAGCCTATTAAAAAGGTACCAGGGGCATCTCAAGGGGCCCCCTACTGACCCCAGGCCCTCGGGCAGTGTCCGAGTTTCCAAATGGTCAGTCCGCCCCTGCCTGTAATAAATAAATAACACATTGCACTAATTTAAAGTGTGCAATATTTTGCTCATCTACTTCCCCAAACTTTTTAATGAAATAAAATGACAGTTTTTTTTTATATACAGACAAATGCTAAATGTTAGTTTTACATTATTTTTTTTATATTGTTGGCAGTGAATAATTGCATTTTAATCCTAGAATGTATTTATTATATATATATTATTTTCAAACATTTTCCTGCTCTGTCAAGTAAAATTAGTTTGTATTCTATTTAGATCTTTCATTTAAAAAAATATAAAATGTATCAACATATAAACTTTTAAACAAGTATTGATGTATATTTTTATATTTTAAAATTGCAAACAAATAAATACACATTTATGTAGCTGTGTTAGCATTATCTATCCCATATATAATCAATAACTGATCTATTCAAATAATAGGCTTTTCATTTTTTACATATTTCTGTATTGAAAAATATGTGCTTTGCCAAGTCCTAAAATTAAACTGTAGTTATTATCTTTGGACAGAAGAGGGCAGGCTAGTCATCCAAACGGTTTAAAAGCAAACCTTGTGAATCTGTTCATGTAAGCTGTGCTCTCCTCCCCCTGGCTCAGTGATTCACCCTCCCATCTCTTCTCACACACAAAGAAGAGCTGCAGCTCCGATGAAAACCCTGTGGATGTTTTCAATGCAGGAAATATGGTGTTTTTTATACAACACATCATTTAAACTCAACTTGGATACTTATTGGGATTACAAAAGGACTTGATTCTCAGAAGAGGGATTAAAGACATGGACTGCAAATGTTCCTCAAATGCTTGGAAATGGCAAGTAGCTCTCCCCCTTTTTCTTTGTAGCTGGGGCTGGGTCTCTGGGCAGCTTCATTATTCTGTTGCAGAGGAATCAGATCCAGGGACTGTTGTGGGGAATATAGCTCAGGATCTGGGCTTAAACCTAGCAGATATTAATAAAAGGAGACTGAGTTTGGGATCTGAAGAAAACAGTAAATATTTTACTATTGACCAGAAACATGGAGCTTTGATAATACAGGAGAGGATTGATAGAGAGAGCCTGTGTGGATCCAGCTCCAGCTGTTTGCTGCATTTAGAGGTTGTAGCTGAGAATCCTTTGGAGCTGTTCAGTCTGGAAATTGAGATTTTGGACATTAATGATAATTATCCTATTTTTTCTGTAAGTAATCAGGAAATAAAAATTATAGAGCTGTTAACAAGTCCTGGAGTACAATTTCCTTTACCCTCTGCCGAAGACTTGGATGTGGGGAAAAATAGTGTGAGACAGTATAGATTAAATCTAAATCCTTATTTTTCTTTATCAGAAAAATATCGCAGTGATGGAACTTTGATTGCAGAATTAGTATTAGAGAAAAACCTGGACAGGGAAGAGAGATCTGAACACAAGCTTATCCTCTCTGCTATTGATGGAGGAGAACCTCCCCGATCAGGATCCACTGAGATAACTGTTATTGTTTTAGATATTAATGACAATGCACCAGTGTTTGATCAGGCAAGCTATAAGGTAGAGCTAATGGAAAATCTACCTCTAAACACAGTTGTTATAAAGCTTAATGCTACAGACCCAGATGAGGGTGCAAATAGTGAAATATTATATTCATATGATGATCACACATTAAATGTAGCAAGGAAAATATTTGATTTAAATGAAAACACTGGAGAAATATTGATAAAAGGGGCTATAGATTATGAAAATGCAAAATTGTATGAATTATTTGTAAAAGCTGTAGATAAAGGATTACCAAAAAGAGAGGGGCGTTGTGTTGTTCATATTGAAGTGCAAGATGTAAATGATAATGTACCAGAAATTGTATTTACTTCTAAAAATAAAGAGGTGTCTGAAAATGCCCCAGTAGGAACTATTGTTGGGTTTATTACAGTCAGAGACAAAGATTCTGGTAAAAATGGGGAAGTTAAACTGATAATACCACTGGATTTACCCTTTAAACACCAGCCCATGTCAAACCGCTATACACTGGTCACTAGTGGACATCTGGACAGGGAGAAAGTCTCACAATATACTATTACATTGATCGCTTCTGATCTTGGCTCTCCATCTTTAAGCAGCCAGACTACAATCATCATTAATATTTCTGATATTAATGATAATCCTCCAGCATTTCTACAGTCTGCTTATAATGCCTTCATATCAGAAAACAATGATCCTGGCAGACTGTTGTGTACAGTATCTGCTGGAGATCCAGATGAGGGAGATAATGCAAAGCTCATTTACTCCGTAGTGGAGAGCCACATAGACGGTTCTCCTGTCTCTTCATTTGTCTTTCCTCTTCTCTTCTTTGATTTTCTCTTCTGATCTCTTTTTTCCTTTTCACCCACATTAACTCAGACACTGGTAATATTTATGCCCAGCGCTGCTTTGACTATGAACAGCTCCAAGTACTACAGATTACTGCGAGAGTTGAAGATTCCGGATCCCCAAAACTGTTTTCCAATGTTTCAGTCTTCATATTTATTCGGGATACAAATGACAATTATCCCTCTATATTATACCCAGAGAACTCAGGGGAAGTCATTGCACAAGAGACCATTCCCAGATCTGCGTCTGCTGGATATTTAGTCAGTAAAGTCTCTGCGGTGGATCTGGATTCTGGGCACAATGCCTGGCTCACCTATAGTCTTGTTCAGTCCGGCAGTCCAGCTTTGTTTCACATCTCTGAATATACAGGAGAAGTCAGAACTCTGCGTGGATTACAGGAGACGGATAACACAGAACATCGACTTGTCATCTCCGTCAGTGACCATGGGGAGCCTTCACTGTCCTCTACAGTCATTCTGATTGTAAATACAATGGAGAATATTGCTCAGGAAAGCCCCAAATCTCATGATTTTCTTACAAATTCTAAACCAACACCAAATATGACCTTGTATCTTATCATTTCTCTAGTAGCCATCAGTTTGGTTTCCTTGATAACCTTTGTCATATTATTAGTAAGGTGCCTTAGAAAGAATTATGACAGCAGTTGTGGTTCTTGTTTTCCAAACAAATCCCTCCCTGTGTCCTATATGGATCAGTATAAGCCAGCACTTTACCTAAACACAGATGGGACATTAAAGTACATGGAGGTAAGGATGGCTCCTCCAGAACCTCCAGGATCTTGTTATCCACCATGTTTTCCTGCAACAACAAGTATTCCGGAATCAACACTTGCAAACGTTCAAAGTAATCCGTTTATAGCAAAGTCTAAGCCCACTTCTGACAGCTGGTGTAATGAAACACATCAGGTGAGATAATATAATGTTGTTTTTTTTATTTTTATCTATTTTTATTATTTTGCAATAGTACATTTTAGCAATGGTCTCAACACTGACAAAATTTTAAGACAATATTCAAATAATAGAACCAAAATCTACTTCTGTCCGCTGGTTTAGTGAAACTTCTCAGTTGTGATGTTTTAAAATGTTAAAATAAGATTTTTAATATATGATATAAAAGAAGGTAGATTGGTGAAATTACAATTTAGTTCAGAATCTTTTTTCCTCCTGGAAGCAAATAAATAGATATTTTAATTTTGTGGCCTGAACTAAAAAAGGACTGCTGAAATGTGAATGGTTGCTATTCATACTACAAGCAAATGCATTACCTTGAGTCTTAGCTTGATTATTTTTTACATCTTCGAGGTTTTTCGCCTTATTCACCCATGTGAATGTGCACTGTCATCCATACCAAATAAATGAAGCCTTTGTTTTTGCAATAGCATTCCTGAACCAGGGGCGGACTGACAACTCATGGGGCCCCCAGGCAATTGAGGATTATGGGGCCCCTGTGTCCTTGCCCAAACTCCAAAAAGTCTATGAAAAAGGTACCAGGGGCATCTCATGGGGCCCCCTACTGACCCCGGGCCCTCGGGCAGTGCCCGAGTTTCCAAATGGTCAGTCCGCCCCTGTCCTGAACATAGAAGCAGCAGCTGCATGGATACAGCCGCATGGCAAAATTTGACAGGCTGGTAGAAGCATGTCCATGGTCTAATTTCAGACAGTGTGCTTCTTGCTGTTCTTTAGTGCATATGTCTCATTGTTTTTTTACTAGTTTTTTTCATCAACATCAGCTCTTACCAATTTTATATATTTTTTAACAAATATATGTGTATATGGTATTTTTACCAGCTATGAAATTCTTATATTATTATTATTTGTATTCTTGCTGTATACATAATGTTAGTTACTGTGTGTATCAGTTAACTAAAGGACTTATATTGTAATTGCAATGATTGAATTGCTATTGGTGAATCTAATGACATGGCTAATAACACCTCATACAGTTTTCAACTGTAAGTGACTTGTTATGATTTTCTGAACGCTATACATTGTATGTATGATGATTAGTGTAAGCATTTGGCACATATTTTGTTACTCTTTAAAACCCTGCACACATTAGTCTGCATTTTCTCCAGCTAGGTGCCCAATTGGTCCAGTGAAGGAAAACATTAATTGGACTATATTTTCGTGGTGCATTTTTTTTCTTCTTCTGAGCTTTGCTAATGGATCTTTCTATGGTACAAGTCATTTTTAAGTGGGGTGTGGGGAGAACAAATGGGGAAACATTGATTTGTAAATAATCTGTAATATCAGTGATCTTTAGTAGTCTTATGTTATGTGTCCTCAGTCTCTGGCTGTCTCCTGAAGTATGTCATCAGATTCTAACCACTCCTATAACATATCTGCTGCCTTTGACCTTGTATTGTAGAATTATTTTGGTTTCTAACCATGTTGTGAGTCTTTTATAGTTTTTGGTTGTATTTGGTTGTATTACATTCACTTAATATAATGTGCTACCATTTGTTGAAGTCAAAGGCTGCACTTAGGGCTTCAAATAGCAAGAAGGTTGATCACCACTGCTCTAAGATATGGTTTAAACTGGGTATATATAACCTGGCTCTGATTCTATTACAGTGAGGGACAGAAGTAGTTGAACACCCTGCGATTTTGCAAGTTCTCCCACTTAGAAATCACGGAGGGGTCTGAAATTCACATTGTAGATGCATTCCCACTCTGAGAGACAGAATTAAAAAAAAATTCAGGAAATCACATTGTATGATTTTTAAAGAATTTATTTGTCTTGCACTGCTGAACATAAGTATTTGAACACCTAAGAAACAGCAAGAAATCTGGCTCTCAAAGACCTGTTACTGTGCCTTTAAAAAGTCCACCTCTACTCCACTCATTAATCTAACTTAGTAGCACCTGTCTGAGCTCTTTAAAGACACCTGTCCACCCCACAGTCAGTCAGACGCCAACTACTACCATGGGCAAGACCAAAGAGCTGTCAAAAGACACCAGAGACAAAATTGTGGACCTCCACAAGGCTGGAAAGGGCTACGGGGCAATTTCCAAGCAGCTTGGTGAAAATAGATCAGCATGTCAAGGTTCTGGAGTGGCCTAGCCAGTCTCCAGACCAAAATCCAATAGAACATCTTTGGAGGGAGCTGAAACTCTGTGTTTCTCAGTGACAGCCCCGAAACCTGACAGATCTAGAGGAGATCTGTGTGGAGGAGTGGGCCAAAATCCCTGCTGCAGTGTGTGCAAACCTGGTCAAGTACTACAGGAAACGTTTGACCTCTGCAATTGCAAACAAAGGCTTCTGTACCAAATATTAACACTGATTTTCTCAGGTGTTCAAATACTTACGTTCAGCAGTGCAAGACAAATAAATTCTTTAAAAATCATACAATGTGATTTCCTGAATTTTTTTTTTAATTCTGTCTCTCAGAGTGGGAATGCACCTACAATGTGAATTTCAGACCCCTCCATGATTTCTAAGTGGGAGAACTTGCAAAATCGCAGGGTGTTCAAATACTTCTGTTCCTCACTGTAGATCCTTCCATATTTCCATACTTACTATGCAACACCTCTATTCTCTCTTTAAAAACACATTTTTATATGTCTACTGCTTCAAATTGTAAAGGTTCTAATTTTTTTTAAAATAACAAACATGTCTTAGTTACCTGCTCTGTGCAATGGTTTTTCACAGAGCAGCCCCAGTCCTCTTCTTCCTTGCTCCCCCACCGGTGCTCCAAGCCTCTCCCTGCTGAGCATGCTCGGTCCTGACCTGCTTCTGTGTATCGAAGAGGCACACAGAACACCACTCGTTCCCTCCTCACTGGCTGTGAT